TCGTGGGAAGTAAGGGCAGACTGAACAGGATGTAAGACGCCCCCGCGCCCTGGCCCAAAGGCAGGTGGATGAGAGGAACGCTTCCAAACAAACAGTGTTGTCTACGGTCACTTGGACTGTAGCCTGCCGGTGCTGTGGCCAGCATACTGGTAGTTCTGCTCCACGCCTGGTGGGGCAGGTGGAATGGGCAGCCCCCTGAAAGGGACAGAATGCTCAGATGGACTCTGCAGTGTTGAGCCCATGCAGACTCCTGTAGGGCCGAGGCCGTACACAGCCTGAGTGATGTTTTAGGTCTGTATCCATCTGGCTTAGTATTCTATGAGGAAACTGTCAGCCATGCCTGTATTTCACATGCTAGGGCAAATTTGGGAGGGGGACTCAGAACATCTTCAATATTTGCAGTACTTTAACCTTTCTAAGCACCATGACCCTGAGTCTATGGAGTCCGCTAGCGGCCCCCAGAGGCAGGGGCGGACAGTTGTCCGCACCCTCAACAGTCAGGTAATAACCTGTTGACGTGAGAGCCATAAGGGTAGCTGCTCACCCCGCCGAGCCCGCTGATGCACGTAATCGTAGGAGGAAGTAGATTTTGGAGTGGACATGACGTTTCTTTGCAGTGGGTGCACCCTCTGGGAACTCTCCCTACACCCACATGCGGCATTCAGAGACCCCCCCCCAGGGCCCTGCTTGATGAAAGATGCCCAACAAGCCAGGGAAGCACAATTTTACTCCCTGTTTTTATTCACTTAACAGAAACATTCACTTATCAGATATCACTGAAGTGCGATTTACAGAACTTAGAGGCAAATTAACATGTAAATTAATACTTTAAGGTTTTGGATTTTTTTTTTTTTTACAAATATTACAAATGTACATCCAATATTGCCATTCATTCATGCTTTTTATGTACATACCTTTGCTTAAGAATTACTATATATTAAGTTCATTTGCTTAAAAAAATGCTGAAAATTAGCTGAAAACTAACTGGGCACTGCTGGGAAAGTGTTTTTTTGTTTGTTTTTTATTGATGCTTATCCTGCAGAGTGGTAGAAATCCAGTGCCGGCATGAAACGAGGCCGTGGAATCCCGATCATTGTACCTTTATCATCTCTGCAAGTCTGATTTTGCAACGATGAGCTGGGAAATAAGGTATTTCTTTCTCCAGGGGCTGACACTGTCTACAGTCCCCAGTGGGAGTGCTGTTGTTTGTTCTGACTTTCTGGAGACCTGGCTCAGACTAATGGACATGTTTCAGGGGTCCAAAAAAAGACTCCAGTAAATCCTCCTGGCCTGGAAGTCACAAGAACCCTCAAGGTCAGCGCGGCGGAGCTCAGGGGTACACGGGCCTGAGACTGATTCTCGGCTGTACCGGGGAATCACAGGTGTAGAGTAGGGAGGAACAGGCACTGAAACAGGGAAGAGGGAGGTGAGGGAGAGGAAGATAAGGGGCAAAACCAGAGGCAGCCCTTTTGGGAGGTAAGCAATGGTGGCAATGGGTCACGTATCTATCTCCTGGTTCCCAGAACTGAGAGGTGCCCCCCTGCTCCAGGCCACCTCTCCAACAACCTGCATGTTTTGCATCTGTCTCTGCTTCTTCATCCCCCCCAACCCTTTATTTGATTCAGAATCTGTGGGAGACGTTTGACAGGAGCCAGCAAGCTCCCTGTGTGGCCAGCACAACTCTTTGGGCAGGGCCGCGGACAGCTGCAAGCGCGCCCCAGCTCTGGCTCCACTCCCACACAGGAGGCCCTGTGCCTGGGAGGGCACAGAACCCCAGTGGGACCCCAGACTGGCCGGCTTGTCCCTGCTAAGTGCCGCCGGATGGTGGTACCGCCTTTCCTGAAACACAGAGCTTTAAATCTTTCACTCTGTCCATGAGCTTCGGCTAGAACTCGAAGCTGGGACAGCCTTCGCAAGTGTGTCGGGCAGTGGCCCTTCCTGACCCCGGGGGTTACGGCTCCGCAACCCCCACCAGGGAAGGTGCTGGACGAGCCAGCAAAGGCTGCTGAGTGTTAGCGGAAACTTCCGTCAACAGAGGTGGTAGTCCTGACTTCCCTTTGGTCTTTATTAGGAAGGAATATTTATTGTGTTTTGGGCCAATTAGATGATTTCATTAGAATGGCTTCTTAAAAAATGGTTGTAGAAGTTTCCCTAAATTAAAAATGTCTAAGTTTCAAATGTCTTTTTAAATTTTTTAAAACAAGATACTATAGACACATCTTGAAATTTATAATCTAAAAATAGCATTTCATCAAAATACTCTAACTATTCTATTCTGGGCATCGATATACCATGTATTTACTGTTTATGGCTCTCCAGACGTGGTAAACACTATACCAAAAAAAACCCAAACCCTCAAAACAACCATTTAACTTTATTAAGAACAGCTTCCTGTGAAAAGGAAATTATATGAGAAATTACGTGGGAGAAACTCAACTTGATGTTTCCGAGGAACAGCAAGACTCACAAAATCAGTAGTGATGTGAAGGTATATACAGACTTGAAGAGACCCAGAGGTATAAAATGGAACAATAGTTAGAGACCTGCAAATCCTTTCCTGGGCAGAAACCAAAACCAAAGAAGCCCTGGCTCCAGTCCCTTGCAGTGGAACCGCGTGCTAGGCACGGGCAGGCGGAGCTCCATGGCCGGTGACCTTCCGCCTCCGGCTGCGTGCTGTCGACGCTGACCTTGTGGCCAGAGCCAGGCGGGAGGCCGTGCACGGCTAACCTCCCCTCAGGGAAGGCAGTGTGTGCTTCGAGGCGGGTACCAGTGGCGTCGACCTGATCTGGACTTGAGTAGCGGGGCTGGGTAGATGTGCAGACACGGCACAGGACGTGGGAAGACTGAGGACTCGGAGCCACCGCATCTGACGCACGTGCGGACAGGCACCAGCAGGCTCCTGCCTCCGCTCTATGGGTCTTGCCTCTGTTGCCTTCGGGCGCCAGGAGGTGGCCCCACGGTCATGTGCCCGAGGTGCGCTCTCCTATGCGCTCTCCTGTTGGCTCCTCCCAGGACTCAGACCAATCCGAAAATGCAGGGTTGGCCTGGCCTCCAGCAGTGTTGGGTGCTCTTTTGGGCTTGAAAGCCCAGAGTAGATCCTCAGGCTCCCCTGCGGCCTCGTGTCTGGGCCGGCATCACCTGTCCCCCCAGCCACGGCAGGTGCCACTTCTGAGCCCTGTGACCTGGCCTCCTGATGGTGACCCGGCCCTGCCGTCCTGCCTTCTCTGCCCCTTGTGCCTCTCCATCCCCGCTCCTGGACAGGCAGCTCCGGCCAAGCTCAGGCTCTCAGACGCACTTCCCGCTGCCTTGGAAACGCCCTCTCGCGACAAAGCTCCTGCGCCTCTCCTTCGCCTCTCCTTCCAGGATGTCCCCGCTGACCGAACAGACAAGTCCTTACACTTTCTTCAGAAGTAGATATTTTGGTGGAGTTTAGGTTTTTCTGGAGGGCCAGTGCCTCAGGCGAGATGAACGGTGACCAAGTAGCTGCAGCTGAGGCGTCACGGGAGTGCCCGATATGGGGTAGGTGGTGCCGTTCAAGGCCCTGCAGTCTGGTCGTACGGCTGGTCCTGCGGTGTGTGGATGGGCCCAGCCGCCTCTGTCCTGGGGCGGCTGCTGCTGCTGCTGTCTCCTCGCTCTGGAAGGGGCATTGTTTGGAGTGCAGGGACAGAAGCAGGGGCTCAGAACGGGAGCAGTTCCAGTGGGAATCGACCGTGTGTCCGTGGAGAAATCTGACCCTGTAGGAAGTCCCGAGAAGAGTTGGTTTCCATAGTAACACCTCTACTTCTTGTCCCACAACAAATATCTAAAACTCATCTTGGCTCATTGTTGCCTCATCATACCCGCAATCTCTCCTTGAACGTGTGCAGCACGATGTCACCCTCCCGCGTCTTGAGCTGTGTGCAGTCCCGTGTTCTCGTCAGGGTGTGCACCCATGGCTGGCAGCTGGAAGTTTCACCAGGAAGCCCTTACCCCAGAGCGAGCTACTCTGGAGCGTGGCCATGCGGCCCAGCGAGTTTCAGATGTGGACCTTTCGCGGGAGAAATTAGAGGCTTGTCAGTAGCATGATGGGTGTTAGAGATGAGTTCTTGGTGGTCAAAGTGCACAGTTCAAGGTACCAGGACGGGCTGCAGGCGTGTGAGAGGGTGCCTGCCCCTCCCGCGCTTGGCCGTGCGGCCCCACCGTCCTCTTAGAGAGGGTGCCAGGGGCCAGATCCCAAATGGTCTGGGTGTCTGACGCCTGCTCTGAAGGGGACAGAATCCGGCCTCTTGCGTCTCAACAGCTGCTGTGAGTGATTTGTTTCAATCATGCAAGATGGAGACCGGGGAACCTAAAGCAGTGGAGAGCCCCGAGGAAAGGTTGTTGTGGATTTGACACACTTAGCTAAGCAGTCAGGGCGTGGTCTGGGACTTGTTTCCTTGTTACCTGGTAAGGAGGTGTGGTGGTCACTAACTTCGGATGCATCTGCCACGGACGTGGTCAGCGGCTGTGGGCACCTGCCGTGGAGCCTGTGCTGGGTCTGGGACGGGTGCGGCGGTCTGCGGCGGTCTGCGGCGGTCTGCGGCACTCGGTCCTGGAGCCCCTGTGTCCTACGTCTCAGCTCAGTGGCGTGCTGCGCGAAGGATCTTCATGTCCCTGGTCCTAGCTGAGGGGTTCTTCAATATTGCGCATCTCAGATCCGCTTTGAAAGGAGGTGGAGTAAAAACTGAAGTGAATAATGGGGATGGTAGAGCGTCCTGTTGGCTTCTTTGGGGAGGAGCCCATGGCTTTTCTCTTCGTTGTGGCTTTTCCTGAAGTATCGTGCTACTGAGAACCGGACGCGGCACTGGAGGTGGGAGGGGCGCCCAAGGCTCCGCGTGAAGGCTGCACCTAAGACCCTTCAGCCTGCACGGAAGCTTTCCCGTGGACACACCAGGGAGGGACGTCGGGCCGCACCTGTGCCTTCAGGTCTGGGGGGCGTCTGGGTTCTGACAATGTGGGAGCAGCTCCTACGTTGAGTCTAGTTGCCCACGGAACACTGACCACGCGAGTGCTTCCAGAACACCAAAGGGAAATAGGTGCGGGGAGCCAGTGAGCACCACCTGCCGCCCCACGCACGCTCACGCACGCCCTGCCCGGTCCGGGCGCTCGCCCCGCTCCGGGAACACTGGAGTCTGGTGGCTCAGAGAGTCAGTAGAAACTGGTCTTGCTCGGGCGGCTTCCTCACCCAGGTGCCCAGCCCGGCCTTCTGGAATGCCTTGAACAGCTGCTGTTTGACAGACTGGTAGGTGCCCGCCCCCCGCTTGGCCTCAAAGTACATGGACGGCGTGTCTCCGTGGCTCGGGATCCGCGTGCTCAGCTGTGGGGCAGGAATAACACAAGTGAGCCGGACGGACAGAAATGCCGGGGCCCCTACACAAAACACGGCTCCTGGCCGCCTTCCCTTCTCTCTTACCATGAAACGGAGAAGCGACACGGCAGAGAGTAACACGTGTGAAATTTGCCCCAAAGGAGCTTCCTTAATTAAGCGTTCTCACCGCGCACAGTGACTGGGTGGATGGGCGCGCTAACTAGCTTGTGGTGGTCCCTTCACAGTGTGCATGCGTCAGGATGTCATGTTACCCGCCCTAAGTCTGTCCAGTGTTAGTTATGTGTCAGTCTTACCCAGTGAAGGGGTGAGCCCCATCCGGCAACCCTGAGACATATACCAGGGCTGCTCGGCAAGAAGCGTGAGTGTGCAGCAAACAAAACACGTGTAACTTGCCTGCTATTAAACAAATACACTGTGCAGAGTTTTCCTTTTGGGGAAGGATCTGGGGCTGAGGTTGGGTGGGGGAGGGGGTGGCGGGGATGCTGGTGGCACTGAAGCAGCCTCGGGCGGGTGGGCGATGGGGGAGTTGGTGTTCTCCTGCCACCAGTCAGGAACCCGGTGGAACTGACCAGCTCCTCTGTCGTGTTTCTGGGCCAGTACCTGGCAAGGCCCTGAGGCCAGGGCAGGCAGGGACCGCACTGTGGAGAGGCCAGGGGTGCGGTGAGCAGGGGCGGGAGGCCCGAATCCCCTGGAGGGCCCTGCCCACGTGCTGGCAGCCTCACCCTGAGCAGGTGCAAGGGGCCCTTTTAGGGAGGGAATCGTTTAGGAAGACAGAATCGGTGGTGTTCTCTGACTCGGGTCCCTGCAGTGTGTAGACGAGGGAAGCGTGGATGGCGCCCGAGTGGGCGGGGGGGCGGCCAAGGCTGTGTGCTCAGGACAGGCCCAGGTCCCGTGGGTGGCTCGTGGCAGCCGCACAAGTCGCCCCATACAGAGGGCGACAATGCCCAGGGTCCTCTGGGTTGAAAGAAATGTTGATCTTAAGGGTCAGTGTGTCTGTCCTGTTCTTCTGGTTGACACATGAGCCCCAACAGCCCTGCTCCTGTTTGGAGTTGCTGCTGATAAAGACGTATGGGAGCAGCTAGCACACAGCTGCTTTTATGGGTTTATGTTTTCCTAACGCCTCTGTTTTTGTTTGTTTGGTTCTGCCACAGTCTGCTATGCTTTGGAAACATGTGGAATTCTATATCTCAGCTTAAGTCTGGAAATGCAGTAACCATCTTTATTTATCGAGGAGGAAGCTCAGAACTGTAGTAGAAATGCACAGCTTTGGGGTCAGGAGAAGAGCTTTGACCTCCCGCCTGGCATTCGCTCCCCGTGTCTTTCCAGGGAAGCCTCTTGCTTTCTTTGTACCTCAACTGGGAGTAATACCCACGTCAGGAGCTTTCTCTGAACTTTCCCTACGGTGCCCTACGTGCGGCAGCTCGTGCCCTGTCTGAGAGACTTCTAGGGCCACGGCCCAGAGTCCACGGCTGCTGGCCAGGGGCCCCCGGTGCAGCGGCCGTGTTGCGAGTCTGCAGGGGGCCAGGGAGAAGGAAACAGAGTGGGAGCATTCTTGTGCTATGTGTCACCCTCGCTCAGACCAGTGTCAGCTTTCTGGGGGCCCCTCCCTGTGTCTGCCCGCCGGGAGCCGAGGGTGGCTGGGCTGGCCTCCCCCAGAGCAGAGCCATACCTTTCCATAAAGCCTCGCCCACCGCGCCGAGAACACGTGCTTGCAGAGCCGCGACGAGCCCCCGCAGCTCCTCTTCCCGGTGGTGCCGTCGATAACCTCCACGTCCGCGTTGCCCATCACCCAGTTCACGCTGAAGTGCGGAGACTTCCCCGGCTGGCGCGCCTCGGCGAGGCTCACTCCTGTCAAGAGAGAAAGTGCACAGCCAGGCGTCAGGGTGCCCGGGCCGTGCAGGGCCCCCGCGGCTGGCTGCTGGGAGATCAGGCCTGGGTTTGCCCCGCTGCCCATTTTCACACTGAACTTGGGACTTTTACCTTGGAAGTTGTTATGGTCCCAGACAGGCCCTGAGGGCTATCGTTTTGCTTAAGGAGATTGAAAAAGCTCTAATGCAAACTAGAGAGACCTAAGAGCATACGCTAATGAATCATGCGATGTGATACCAGAAGCAGCAGTGGCTTCCGAAGTTTTGCGGCCCGTTCTGAAATGAAAACACGCGTCCCCGTGTTCATTAGTTATGGAGGATTTCAGGATGATGGCGGCGGGTCCCAGGGACTGCGCTGGACACCGAGCACTGCCCTGAGGCCGGTCCCATGCACGGGGCCCCGGAATTTTCAGAGCAGCCCTTCTTCCGCAGTCTGTCCTTGTCAGCTTGTGCACCGGTTTCCGTCGGGACGACTCAGCCCCGGTAGCCCCAGTCCTAGCGTACAGGAGAGAAGGGGGCACTTGGCGTTCCTACTTGGGGGCAGCAGCCTCTGACCTCCGCCTGGCCTCCGTACCGCCCATGGCCTGAGTCTGCTGGGGGGCCCTCGCTGGCTTTCCCCCCGCCGTCCTGCAGCACTGCTCCATCTGCCCTCGGAAGGTGACCTCAGGGAAGGAATGTGAGGCACCAGTGGGCGGGAGGAAAGGCCCCAACATGCCGTGGAGCTGCGGACTTCGTGGTGCTGCTCTGCGCACAGCAGTGTGGCAGCAGCCCAGCTGGGCAGAGGAGGCCCCAGCCCTGCGGTTCGCCTCGGTGACGGCCTTCTTGTGGGATATTCCGTTCCTAGCCCCACTGCGCCTTCTCACAACCCCTTCCCAGAGCCAGCGCCACTGGAGCACCCCTCCTCCGGGCCCACACTGCTTGCCGCTCTGCACGGAGACACCGCCATGCACCTGGGCAGGAGGGAGCCGAACTGGCAGCTCCGCTGTGGTGTCACGAAGGGTGCGGCTGGCCCTGTGGGGCCTGCAGCAGATGTGAGGGAGTGAGCCCTGTGTCCAGGGGCTGCCCAGCACCCCAGACCCTCCTGGAGGGCAGCTGTCCCATCAGCTCCCACCGGCAAAGCCAGAGATCCAGGTCCTCCTGCGGCCCCCGGCGTGCCCACCACCCAGGGGCTTCCCGCCGTCTGCACACACGCCGTCCGAGTCTGCATGCTGCAACAGCCTAACTCCAGACCACAGTCACCCGGCAACTGTCTCCTGGTCACGGATGGGCAGTGCCAGGCGTCCTGGGCTAATTCCAGCCAGGTCACCAGGTCATCACGTTCCTGTTCCTTGAAGCAGTTCCCTCTGGCAGCCGCCCACACAGAGAGCTGGGCAGGGGGATGGTCTGGCCTGTGGGCCATGAGGCGGCCCTGCTGGGCAGAGGGAGGCAGTGGCCAAGGTCAGGAGTGACCAGACACAAAGAGAGGCGTGCCGGCCAGGTCCTCCCCATCCTCCTCCCCCCGCCCTCTGCTCTCGGACCCTCCCTCCCCTGCCCCTTTGTCTCCAGACCGGGGAGGGAGAGTGCACAATCCTGCTTCTCCACCCCTCTGCACATGGGGAGAGCCTCCGAGGACACGTGGATGTCCACATCACACCTGGCTCCCTGTGTGTCCTCTCTGCTGTGGAAAGTGCCCCACTTGCACATAGATGCCTGCTTGGAGAGGCTCGGCTGCAGCCCTGGCAGGGCGTCCACACACGGATCCAGCTCCGCACACAGACACAGGCAGAGAGAAAAGGCACTGGCTGGTGGATAGCCCCCCGACTGCCCAGCCCTGACCCACCTTCTCTGCAGCTCGGGTCCCAGCTGGTTGGTGTGTGTGCTGAAGCAGAGAAGTGTGTGGGGAGGGAAGTAGAGGCTATAAATCACAACGACTCCATAAATCACAGTATGAAAATTGTCGATTTCCAACTGTAATGGCCCTATCAACGACCATGTGCGTCGTGAAATGGGATTGTAGGTCCAGCCACGATCTTCCACATCACCTCTGTGGCCAGTGGAAAACGTGGGGTGAGATCCGCGTTGACTCAGGAAGCAGCCCCAGCCCTGCTTTTGCGCCTGGTTTGCTGTTCCATCCACCGTTCTGTTCCTTCCTGTGCTCTCGGTAGCGACAGCGTCTCGTTGGAGGCCTGCCTTTGTCAGGGGAAGGGATGAGGGCCAGCTCTGGTTGGTGGGGAGTCCCCCACGTTGTGGGGACCACAGTGCCCCACTGAGATTGCACGGACCTTTCCCATTGTCATTATGAGCGGGATGGCCTTCTCACCTCCTGCTGTCCCGGGAGTGGAGGAAGCAGCCCACACATTGGGGTCAGAGTCCCTTCTGTGTGAAGCAGATTTGGCTTCATGTATGTGCAGTTGATTATTGTGTGTCCTTGGGGCTCTAGGTTTCAGGGTTCCCTCCCTTAGTCTTTTGCTTGGGAGAAAAGTTCCCAAAGCAACCTGCAGGATCGACAGTTTCCCCCCTTCCTCCCTCCCTGCTTTCTGTCTCTTTGCTTCTGTACCTGAATCTGCCCTAGAGAGGCCGCACCTTCGTGTTTACGAAATCTTTGTGCCAGTGGTACACGTGGGCAGCACCGTCGGGATTGACTGTCGAGTTCGTCGCAGGGATGCTGACTCGACCATGCAAATTGGTCAGCGCACAAGGAAAGATGGTCATTTCACAGAACGTCCGTTGGTCTAAACCCACAGGCCAGACAGAGTGCAGGCAGGAGGCACAGGGTGAGGGGAGCTCGTTTATGATCCACACGCTCACGGGCGGGTCATGCTGTCTGTCCTCGGAGGGAGGGACGAGCGGCCTGGGGCGGGCAGGAGGCTGTGGCCAGCACAAGCTGTTCCTGCTGCCTGTGTTGGGTTGCCCCGTGTTTCAGGATGGCGCTCCCACCTGCTCCCCGTTCCGCACCACACTCACGGGTGCCCTTCAGGAGGCGTGTTACAACGCCTCCTTCCATGTCTGCCTGTCTGTCCTTTACTCACTCATCTTGGCCCGAGGGAAACACTTGTTTCTAAGGAGCCTCCTGCGCGTATCTGAGTGATCTCATTCGTTATGTCCTGGTTTCGTAATTTGAAATCAGCTTCCCAGGAGCCATGCACGGCCTAGTGGCCAGATGGGGAGCTCGTGCAGCCTCCCCCCTCCAGGCCCAGGACAACGAGCTTCTGAGTGTTGCTGCCAGATGTCCTGTGTTACGGGGAGACATGTCTCCTCCTCCCAGGAAGGAGCATCTGGACTGCATTTACTTTTCCTCCCATTGGCTGGAAGTTGTCAAAGTAAGAGAGGCACAAATTCCTGGGATCGTTCTTCTGGAAGCAGACATCCAATGACTGAAGATAAAAACCAAGCCTCAAGTTCAAGTTCAAGTGCATACTGTACTTGAGTCCTAGACATCACCTGCTACCACCGGCTTTCATCATCATCCTTGAGATGGTAACACATTGGCACATTATACAGATCCAGGCACTCAGAAAATACAGTGTTACCTTCCCTCTGCACACCTCCTGGGGCGAAATCGGAAGTCTCCATCCTGGGTGGCTCAGTCCTTAAGCATCTGCCTTTAGCTCAGGTCATGATCCCAGGGTCCTGGGATCGAGTCCCACATCAGGCTCCCTGCTTGGCGGGAAGCCTGCTTCTCCCTCTGACCCTCTCCCCCTGCTTGTGTTCCTGCTCTCGGTGTCTCTCTCTCTGTCAAATAAATAAATAAAATCTTTAAAAAAAAAAAAGAAGTCTCCATCCACAGGAGGATGTGAATATATCCAGATCTGCCCCCGTCCTAGTCACGACTTAGGGAAGAGCTTTACGTTCTGAACACTGAAAGCAGGAGCCTGTGTCTGCAGGAAGGGGAGAAGCCCTCTTAGAACATAAACCCTCGGAAGACTCAGCCCTGTGTACCCATGACCTGTGTTCAAGGTCATAAGGTCTCTTTGTGTGCATGGACATTGGACTCTTCATGTTTTTCACCGTGGAGCCCCTGAGCCCAAGAGTCAGCAAACCTGCACCTTGACATCCAGAAACGAACCGATCACTCACTTCCACCTCTGCCCGTTTCCACGGGCTCCCCCCCACACTCTGTGTCTGTCTGTCTGTCTCCGCCTCTTTCCCTCCATCAGGCTCTCTCTTCCACGGACGTGTGTCGTGGTATGTGGGACCCATGGACATAGTTCAGGACATGCTCTTCATCTCTATCCTTAACTTAATCGCATCAATAGGGACCCTTTTTCCAAATATGGTAATTTGCAGGTTTCATGGATTAAGATTTGGTGTCTTGGGACAGCCATTAGTCATCCTCCACCAGCATTAATTTTGAATTTTGGAGCTAGTCTGTGAACCCTGTGCACTGACCCTCTAGCACCACGGTTGGCGGGAGAGGGGGCTCCTGCGGCTGTAGCCACATGGACGTCTCTTCTCAGCCTGTGGCTGGGAAGGGAAGCCTAGCGCGGCTGCATCTGGGGGATGATGTGGTCGGCCTCTGTCAGGGGGATCTAGGTTTGGAAACTTCCTCGGCAGAGAAAGCCCAAGACAGGATGAGAGAAAAGGTGTCCCTGAAAGGTGGTGCATCCAGGTGAGGACCAGGTCCATGGCCATTCTTCCTTAGTGATTTCTGTAGTGATTATCCCGCCGTCTTGGAAGGAAGCCTGATCTCCACAAACACCTTCCCTATCAGAACCATCGCCAGTAAGGTCTGTGCAGCTCATCTGTCTGCGAACCACACCACACACGGTCATTCATCCTCTATGGAACATTCTAGACACGTCTTGTATCTCAGGGCAGATATGTGGGAGACCAAGCAGGTCTCCACCAGCCATTGACACACATACTCTGCCATGATGACAAATACACAGAGGCGTCTCCATGACGATTGTCTGACATTTGATTTAGTGACTTAGTGATTCACACGACAGTGTGAATACAGTGAACCTGAGCTAGGTCTTGCTCAGATTTCACATCTATCAC